TGTGTCAATTACAGTGGAATTCTTCATCAAATAATACATTCGCGTTCAATTGACGTTGAATTCATGTTTATGATTGTTGAATTGTTGATTGGTTGTGTGAGAATATCTAATTGAATTATGCAATTTGATAAGTTTTGAGAATTCTACCGCCTCCCCTGTTCCTCTTTGGTTTTGCTCTCTTCTGCTCTTTTCCGTCTTGTCTGCTATTTTCAATTCCCAGTGGGTACGCAGCAACTGATGTCCGCTGATGTTGTCTTCGGCGGAATCAATTCACCGCCGTCAGGGAGGAGGTCGCCACATGGTGCTGAGGCTGGGAACTGAAAATGGAGGGGGAGGGTGGGGGTGTTAAGAAGATAAGAAAAGGGCGGAGAATCAAGAGGAAAAAAAAAAGAAAAATAGTCAAAATCATAAAATTTAAATTTATAAAATTATAATTTGACTCCAAATGATCTGAAGGTGACTTAGAAACCGCCTATTGGACCACCGGTGAAAGAATGTTGAAAGTTCGTATACTTTTTTGAAAAAAATTAAAGTTTATATACCAAAGTGAAATAATCATGAAAATTCGTATACTATGGGTAAAATTTACCTGTTAGTATGCAGTTTTGATCTATAAGTTTTTGCAATATTTAGTTATTTATATTATGCACGATATAGGGCACATACAATAATTTTGTGAATTGGGCAACATAGATAGCCCAATTTGAGTTGATGTCAATTGTTGACTTTCAAAATGTGTGTCCCTAAACCCGATTGATTTAAAATTATACTCCTTTACATTGTGGTTGGGGTTTATGATCCTTACGTTGCAAGATACGATCCTTAACATTGCCCTTTACAACACTTCACTAACTTGAAAAAGGTAATTTACTTAAATAAGACTAAAACATAATTATTCTTATTCCGTTTTGAAATTAACTTCTCGTTTTAATTTACGATACTTGACTGATACGGAGTATTATTTTTTTAACAATTTATTGGGAAATTAGAGTGGATTGTAAAGATAAAATTTGTAATTATGTAAGTTCCATAAATAGTCTCCAATTATATGTAGTTTTCTGTATTTAGTCTCCAATTATAAGATATTTCATAAACAGTCCTCAATTTTTGAAAAGTATTTCACAAATAGTCCTTTTCACCAAATAATTTGACAACACCAAATGATCTACAAAAGTAAAGGTGACATGACTATATTATTTTATCAAATAAATAACAAGAATAGGCTTGTAAAGTAAATAAATTTGACCCAGTAAATTAAAAATGAAAAGATAATTTTAGGACAAAATATTTATTAATCATCAAAGTCTGTACACCCTAGGTAACATTTTTCTTCTTTAAAAAATTTAGGCGAGGCTTAATCCTCAAACTAACACTTTAAGTACACTTTTGTCGCTCTAAGACGACTTTATATGTACATGCATCTCAGTGCTCGCATTATAATTTTGTAATTCACGAGCTACCGATTTAGGTATGTCTAATGCGTTTAACAATTCCTTTTATGTATGGAAAAAATGACCAAATGTAAAAATAAAGAAGTGTTAAACTATTGTTGACTTTCAATTTTGCTCTTGATATGATGGCAAACGTAAGATGTGATGAATAGATTAATTATTAGAGAAAAAATTTGATGTGATAGGTAGGGTATATGAAAAGGTAATGGTAAAAGTGGGTTTTTAATAGAAAATGGAAGTGTTTTGTTGGAAGCGGAAAAAATGAATTGAAAGAGAAGGTATTTTTGAGAAAGGAGGGAGTATGATTTTTACTCTTTTATCATAGTAATTGGCATTTTAAGGTGCATACGTTGTCGTGCTTTTTTATATTTATAACACTTTCATGTAGAGCTAGCAAAACGGTCGGTCAGGTCAGGTTCAAGTTCGATCATCTTGGTTCAGGTTACTTCGGGTTTGGGTTGAGAACTACATGTTCATGACCCAATGACTAAATATGCAAGAAAATTTTAAAAAAAGTAACATAATTATGTGATATCATTAATATTTTGTACGAAAATATAAATTTATACATTAAAAATGAGTAAAACGCAAATGAATATAATTAAAATCTTATTTTTATAACATTATACTCCCTCCGTCCCATAAAACCTTTCTCCTTTCTTTTTTTATCCGTCCCACAAAACACTTCTCATTTCTATTAAAAAGTCACTTTTACCCCTTACTTTTTCATACCCTAACTATCACATCATACCTTTTTACTAATAATATATCCATCAAATCATACTTTTACCTATCACATCAAAGGACATTTTTGGAAATTCAATACCAAAATACACTCCCCTTAAATCCCTCATAAAAAGCAAAACTCCCATGTTTTACGGGACGGAGGAAGTATTACATAGTAAAGCATATGATTTTGAAAAATTCTCACATTAGCGGGTCGGTCAGGTCAGGTTCGGGTTCGGTCGGGTTTGACCCATTTTTAACGGGTAATTTCGGGTTCGGTCAGCAAAACCTTTGTTCAAAACCCAGTATTTTCGGGTCGGGTCTCGGGTCAAAAACAGGTCGGGTCATTTTTTGCCAGGTCTACTTTCAAACTCTCACACCCGCACTCATATCCGAAGACACTCTCGTTTTATGTAATCTTGCACTTGACCAATAGTCTGTTTTTTAGGGCTTAAATTCTTAATTTTCAACTTTTTTTCCAGTTTCTTCGAGTTCTCTCAGTTCCTTTTATTTTCTTCCAGTTTTTTTCAATTATTCTCATTTTCGTCGAACTCTTTCTATTCCCCAAACATGTATTCTAAAGATGATATATTTTTTATGTGATAATTATTATATTATTATTATATTATTATTATATTATTATTATATTATTATTATATTATTATTATATTATTATTATATTACTATTATTATCTTCATTATTATTATTACAACTATTATCTTCATAACTACAGTTTATAAATTATTTTATTGTTTTATTTTTTTCATCTCACTATTTTTATGATTCACACTTCTTATTATTTTTCTTTAACTTTTTAATATAAATAATAAAATTTTTATTTATTAATATACAAGATAAAATAGAAAAATACCATATTTTAAACCATATTTAAAAATTAGGAGTTCTATATTTTTATTCCCAAACTAGGACTTCCAATGTAAATACAATATCAATCATGAAAGAGAAAAATAGATTTGATCATATTATGTGATAGGTCAGATATTTAGAATAAAGTGTAATTACAAATATTATAGAGTATTTTATTGTAATAAATATTGCATAAAAAATTGAGTTGCAACATAATAACCAGGCCACAATAACTTTTTAAAATTTAATATTTTAATATTTATTCCAATTAACTTTATATACTAAATAAAAAAATTGCGAAAGTATTTTTTTTGGGCGAATGATAAATGAAAATACTTTGTTAATTTTAAAGACATTGATTAAGATAAAGTGATTATGAATATAATAATACTAAAACTAATAATAATACAACAATAAATTATTAATAATGACAATTTTTAAATGTTTTTAGATTTCCTAATTTTTCTAGTTTTTCCAGATCCATCTAATTTCTTCCAATTCCTTGCAGCTTCTTTTAAGTTTTTAAATTTTTTAAAATTCAGTCTAATTTTTTCGAGTTTCTTCATGTTCTTCCAACTTCTTCAAGTTCTTTCCAGTTTCTTCTCATTTCTTTCAACATCTAACGTTTTTTTCTAGTCCTAAAGAACAAGCCCTAGACAAGTTTAAATGTATAGTGGCACCGCAGTATCAATCAATGCCAGTGGCTCTAGAGTCATGCCAATTTTTGTATAAATAAATGTTATAAAAATTTGATGTATCAAAATTAAAAATTGAAATGATATAAAAAATATTAAGTTTAAAATATAATAAAACCTTTTTAACTAATTTGGAGTCAAACTTGGTATAATTTGACAAACAAATCAAACTAAAAAGATTTTAATGGGACGGGGGAATTAAATTTTTTAAAGCTGTTTTGCAATAGAGCCCAGTTCCATGGCCACTTACGAGTTGCAATTGACGTAGGTGGGTTTATTAGTTTGGATCGGGACTTGGCGGGGGGTTTATCGGGGGGTTAGGGGCAGGAATCATCAATTTTATGAACGGAGCTCCGTAGGGGGGCAGTGGCTTCCGTGACCACTGGAATCCAGTGGCCATGAAACTGGGCTCTTTGCAATATAGATCAAATTAAATTATTTTTGTATTATTATGTTTTGCAAATTTTATTTACTCCCTCTGTCCAAAAGAGGAAGCAAAATTTTAATTTTTTCAAATTCGTTTTACTCAAAGATCGTTATAGAAATAAAAAATGAAAACTACTCGTACATATTTTAAAATTATGTCAAAATTTCTAATTCACAAAATAAAAAATAAGAAAAATATTTTATTTTACCAAATAATCAATAAAAATATACAAATAATTGTTTTTTTGATTTTTGAATAGTGAAGTATGATAATGTTTTTGAAACGATGGGTAATTGATAAACAAATTTCAGACTAGACAAGTGCATTATACTCTCTCCGTCCACAAATAAACTTCTCGTTCACTATTCACATGATCAAATTTTATTTACTTTATTGGTCTATTTTCGTCACCTATTTGTTAAAATAATATAGTCATGTCACCTATAGTTTAACTTTGTAGATCTATCTTTTGATATAGTTTTTTAATATATAATTTTTATTTTTAAATTTTACACCATTTTTCATATAAAATAATTTAGAAATAACTTCAATCAAACATTGTACGCGCAACAGGAAGTTTATTTGTAGACGGAGGGAGTAACAAATTGAGTATTGGCTCATCAATAGAGAATAATTTATACTCCCTAGAAAACATTGCCTTGTCTATATATGAGGTGCACTAAATAAAATATTTTCTCCATCCTATAATTATGTTCTTACATCCTTCTTCACGATGCCCTAAAATTTTCTGATCTTCTCATCTCCATTTTCTTATAAAGAAACAAATATGTGTCCATATCATCTCTCTTAATTCTATGCAAACCACATATATTGAATTGAGAGACATTTTACTTTATTAAAAGTTACCCCGGAGTGTATATATATCAAGCGGAATAAGGAAGAAAAATATGAGAGGTAGATTTCAAAAGTACATACACTAGTACTCTCTCCGTCCCTAAATATTTGAGTAATAAAAAAGTTAGTTAAGGACACTTGGGGCCTCCCCTTTTGGTCTTCCAATTGTTGTAGCAAGGGCAGAACTGCTTGTTTCCATAGGTTCCAGGGGGAACGCACAGGCACTTGGCGCAACACTTTTGGCAGAAGAACATGCACGCCTTCTTGTACTGCGTCTTTGAACACCTCTCACTGCACTTCCCCATGCACTCTGCAATTCAAAATACTTTCATCCATATTCGAAAATACGTACGGCGTACATATATATGAGCATGTCCTAATTGCCATGGTAAATCGTACAGTTTCTGAAGAGTTCAGGCGTGAATGATGCAGTTTTAAATGTTCGGGGGTAAACCGTCCATTTTTTTAAAGAATTCAGAGGTAATATAATGGTGTAATTTTAAATATTCAGGAGTAAATCCTGCATTTTCCGAAGAGTTCGGAGATAAAGAGTGCATGCACATACTTTTCTCTCTTTGATAGAGGTGAGGCACGCGCGCTGGATGTAGAGAAGTTTTAGATGACTTTCTTGTCGCTATGTCAACATGTTTTTACATAAACATTTCATCAAACAAAAATCAATATTACTTCTTCCTTCCCTAAAACTCTCTCTTTTATCTTTTCTTCCTCCTCTCAGAACTCCTTTCTCCTTCCAATTAAAAAAAATTATTTTTTATCTTACTAATTCTTACATTACATATCACTTCATATATTCTTACTAATAATCTATCCATGATATATTATTTCATTCATCACATCAAGAGTAATTTGGAAAAATTAACACAAAAATATTTCTCCTAAAATTACATACAGAGTAAAAGTCAAACTGAGAACGACTTTTAGAAACAGATGGAATTCAAAAAATAATTACATACTTCAATTTTGAGTATAGTGACTAGTTTGAATATTTTTATGTACTCTTATACGGAGCAATTTTTTACTCCGAATTTAGAGAGGAAATGCGGAGATTATTTATGAATAATGTGCCAAAAAATAAAATAGAGTTGTATGTATAGTACCTTGTGGATGAAGGCGACCAGCTGGTTTTGAACCAGACTGCATACATACATGCCCAAAATTAAAGAGATGAATTAATATATACATCGGTTTCATAAACCCTTCAATTTTCTAAAACACTTCCACTTTCAATTAAAATACCACTTTTACCCCTACTTTTTTATATCCTACCTATCACATCATACTTTTTCACTAATAACTAAACTATCACATCTTACTTTTACCCATCACATCAGGAGTAAAATTGGAAAGTCAACCAAAATTACATTTTCCTTATTTTGGCTCAAAGGCAAAATAGGAAGTGTTTAAAGGAATGGAGGGAGTAGTATTTAGGAAATAAAAAAGTTTAAGTACTACATTGAAAAATGACATACTCACTCCGGTCCTAAAAACATGGGATGTTTTGATCTTGAAGAGATTTAAGGGGAGTGTATTTTAGTATTGAATTTTCAAAAATGTCCTTTAATGTGATGCATAAAAGTAGATTTGATTGATAGGTTATTAGTAAAAACGCATGATGTGATATGTAGGTATGAAAAAGTAAGGGGTAAAACTGACTTTTTAATAAAAATAAGAAATGTTTTTGGAACGGATGAAAAAGAGAAATATCTCATGTTTTTAGGATCGGATGGAGTATATTTTAGTGCTATTTAGTGTACATTTCAGTTTTTTTAAACGTAAAAATAAATAAAAAAATAAGCTAATATAATACTCCCTCCGTTTCTTAAAACGGTTCTTGTTTTGACTTTGGGCAAAATAAGGAAAGTGTAATTTTAGTTGACTTTCCTATTTTGCTCCTAATGTGATTGATAAAAGTAAGATGTGATAATTTAGTTATTAGTGAAAAAATATGATGTGATAGGTATGGTATGAAGAGGTATGGGTAAAAGTGGTTTTTTAATAGAAAAAAGAAGTGTTTTAAGGAAAACAACAAAATGAAAGAGGAAGAATTTAAGAAAGGAGGGGTAACAAGTTATATAGCTATTTAGTGTACATTTCAGTTTTTTTAAACATAAAAATAAATAAAAAAAAGAAGCTAATATATGCTCCCTTTGTTTTTTAAAATGGTTCTAATTTTGACTTTTGGGCAAAATAAGGAAAATGTAATTTTAGTTGACTTTCATATTTTGTCCCTGATGTGATTGGTAAAAGTAAGATGTGATGATTTAGTTATTAGTGAAAAAATATGATGTGATAGGTATGGTATGAAAAAATAGGGGTGAAAGTGGTTTTTTAATAAAAAAAAGAATTATTTTAAGGAAAACAAAAAAAATAAAAGACGAAGAATTTTAAGAAATGGAGGGAGGGAGTAACAAGTAAAGCTATATATGGATATTGGATATGCAAAAGGAAAGTTAATCTCACCATATCGAAACTAGCTGCAGATGGCTGAGGAGCAGGGGATTCCAAGATTACTATAATCTTCTGCATGCGCATGCCGCCGATCGGAAAAAAGTTGAAATTAAATTCAACTACATAAACTTGTGAATGGAATTAAATAAATGTAATTAATTACATGAACCGTACGTACGTACATGGCACTCCAAGAATTGAGCTAAAGAAGCCATCATAATTATAAGAAGAAAGATCGGTTTAAGGCAATGTCTCATCATACTTTTCATAATTAATGATTAGCAAACTAAATACTCCGTAATTAAGATCAGAAGAAGGAATTAATTATGACTAATTTCTCACTATGTGCCTTGAAAAGGTGAAGGAGAATTTTTTTAATTGACAAGCTTGGACTCTTGAAGGTGTGTGTTGAATACTATGGAGTGTATATATATATATACACACACACACACATACACACACACATATATACATACATACATACATACATACATACATACATACATACAAACATGAGGATGACTGGATGAGTTTTTATGATGGTAAGACAATGTTCTTTACCACTAAAAAAGAGTTGGAACTAGTGGCGGAATCCAGAAATTTTTTTTCACTGCGGGCACAATTGGTCAGCACAAATAAAACAAATATAATAGGAATAATTTAAAATTAAATAAAAGTAAAATATGTAATTAACTGAAACATACTTTCTCCGTCTATAAATAAACTTCTCGTTATGCGTCACGATGTTTGACTGAAGTTATTTTTAAATTATTTTATATGAAAAATGGTGTAAAATTTAAAAATAAGAATATATTAAAAAACTATATCAAAATATCTACAAAACTAGAGGTGACATGACTATATTATTTTATCAAATAGATAAAAAAAGTAAACGAGAAATTTATTTGTGGACGGAGGGAGTACATTTTACTTCAACTTTGATTTAGGTTGGTGAGGTAATGAGACGCACGGGTGTTTTTTTTTACTTCAACTTTGATTTAGGTTTAAATGGGCTGGACATATTTTTAAAATGGTGGGCTGAGCCTGAAATTGAGCTGGGGGCAATAGTAAAATTTAAATAATTCATTGGGGGCAGCTTTCATACTACATTAAAAATTACAAATAATTACCTTAGAAGTAGAATTTGACTGGGGGCAATTGCCCCCCTAACTAAAGAATGGATCCGCCCGTGGTTGGAAGTTGGAAGAAACCAAAAAAACAAGAAGAGATTGGAAAAAACCGGAAGAAAAAATGAAAGTAACTAGAAAAATTAGAAAAAATTAGAAAATCTAAAAAAACTTTAAAAAATTATTTAAGTTTATGTTTTATATTATTCTCATTCTAAATGTTGTTTTTATAATTTATTGTTATTATTATTAGTTTTATTATTATATTCATAATCATGTTATCTTAATCAATTTCTTTAAGATAAAAAAAATATTGTCATTTTTCATACACAAAAGTTTACTTCTTCAAAAATTTATTTAATTAGAATATAAAGTTTGCATAAATATCAAAGTGTTAAGTTTTAAAAATTTATTGTGTTTACATTTCATTTCAATTTATATATGCAGAATTTTTTAATAAAACAATATAGTTGTAATTATAATTTATACTCCATCCGTTCCACAAAACCCTTCCGGATTTGACTTTGGGGAAAAATAAGGAAAGTGTAATTTTGGTTGACTTTCCAATTTTGCCCCTGATGTGATAGAAAAAAGTAAGATGTGATAATTTGGTTATTAATGAAAAAGTATGATGTGATAGATAGGGTATGAAAAAGTAGGGGTAAAAGTAGTTTTTAATAGAAAGTGGAAGTGTTTTGTGGAAAACAAAAAAAACGAAAGAGGAAAAGTTTTGTGGAACGGAGGGAGTATATTACAAGATTTTATTCTAAATGTCAGACCGGTCATATAATATGATCAAATCTATTTTTTGTTTCATGATTAACATGGCAACTCTTATTTTGAAATTAAAAACATAGAAATCATATTTTGGTACATTTTTATGTTTCTCCTAGTTTAGACTTTAAGAAATTTACCTAAATAGGACTAAAACATAATTACTTTCCCAATATAGGACCATATGTTTTTATTTCCCAATGTAGGACTTTTGGTCATTATCATGTAGTCATTATTCAACTAAATGTCCATCATTACTGGACATTATTCTTCCCACTAGGTCATTATTAAGTCATATTTAGAGAATAAAAAAGTTTAAGTCCTACATTGAGAAAGACATTATGTTTTAGTCCTATTTGGTGAAAATTTTACTTAGACTTTTCCTCTAAAATATTTTAACTTTCAAAATTTTTTATAAAATTTGAAAAATGTTTTCCTCGTATCAATTTAGAAGAGTGTCAATCATAAAAATAGTGACATGAAAAAAATAAAAAATGAAATAATCTATAAACTATAGTATGAATATAATAGTTGTAATAATAATATGGAGTAATAATAACTATAATTAAGAAAATTCTAATAATTATAATACTAATTATTATTATTATTGATGGGTATATCCCTATACCCGACCCGGACAACCGAAAGGGACAGGTCAAAATATGACCGGTCACTTTTATCAATCACCAAATGAGGTCAACTCTTCGATTGGGACGGGTCAACTTTTGACCGGTCACTTCCACTAAAAAAGTGACCGGTCACATTTTGGGCGTTAGCCAAAATGTCGCCTAATGTTACAAAGGACAATCTAGAAGACCAGAGATGGGTGGAGCACAAAGAATGACCGGGTAACCTTTGAGAGAAGGTGACCGGTCATATCATCTCACTTGACAAACATTGGTCCAGTATCTCAGGCATGGTGAAC